CTGGTGCATCGGCGGCGTGAAACTGATGGTGGGAACCGGATTCTCCCGCCGTTGGCTTTATGCCTGAGATGCAGCCGCAAAGATGTGTTCCTTGAATCCGTCGGAGATTATGTCTCTAACTCTTCGCCTCCGGTCGTCATCCTACTTTTTTGAATTTCTATTCAGATAGAAGTTCTTCTTTTTATATGTCATTTAAAAAAATAAGTAAAAAAAATTGGCATAAAAGTTTTGAATATATATATTATGGATTTTTAAAATCGTGGATAGGAACTACAATCAAAGTAATTTTTTATGTTTCACTAATTTTATTATACTATTTCAATTTAAGTTTTCAGTTATTTTGGTTGGATGAATCTTAGCGATTACTTAATTAGAATTATGTCATAAGTCATTGGATATGCTCTATAGTTACCACCACATTAATACCTTTTTGTAAATTTTATTTTTAAAAAACAAAACAAGGGACAATGCTCTATAATTTATTTCCTCTTCTTAGTTCTTACAAGATTAATCGACATTTCTTTTTTTTTTTCTAGAGAATTTCTTTATTTGTTTTATTTTTTTAGTACTTACTAAGTTAATGACAAATCAAAACATATTTCCAACCAATATACTAAATTAAGCTTATGTTAATGGATACTGTTATTTTCATTTTCAAGCTCTATTGAGGAAACCCAAGGAAAAAGTTGAACAAGACAACAAATTAAACGAGTATGCAATTAATTGTGACAAAACAATTAAACAAATGATCAATAAGGGCTAACAATTGGGCAAAAGGATGTCACGTGTTTAGGCTGCCGAGACGAGGATTATATTGATGTGAAAATAGGTTTATTCCAATTAAATTTTTGTAATTACAAGAAATGAGAAAAAAACTGGGTCTTCCTTAGGTTACATATCCAATGTAATAACATAAAAAAAAAACAGAAATCGCTATAGAACTGGTCCTTGAAACCAAAATTAAAGGAGATGGATAGCTTAAATTAGATATGTATCAGAGTGATTCAAATCTAATTTCTTATCTAAATACTTGCACACATTTTGTTCATATATATTTTCTAAGTTGTAAAACAGCATCTACTCATTTGTATCATAAAGGATGAGTAAACCCTTTCAACTTTCGATGGCCATGCTAAGTATTCTCATCATTCTTGTTACAGGTTTGTATTTATTTAACACGATCATTTTAATAGATTTTAAATAATCAGTCTATATAAGTTGATCATCAATAATATGTTGATTCTCTAAATATACTAATAGAGTATGCATAAGCCCCAAATCCAAACCTAATTAATATAGAATACGGGTTTTAAAGAGTATTAGGTGCATGATTTAGCATTTGAAAATTATCGTGCATCTTAGTCATAGTTTTATGTTTTTACCAAAGAAAATTACAGAGAACCCTTTAACTTGTTGAATGATTGCAAAATAGATTTTTGTTGAATGATTTAATTGGTTCAAAGCAAAGTCTTCTTTTATCAATTCAAATGCCAAATGCAGTTGAATGATTTATTTTTATTTTACAATATTATGCATGAAAATGAAAAAAACAGATTACAGTAATAAAACGTTTCAAAATGACATGAATACTTCGAGAACATTGTTTTTGATGATTGGAAGATAAAAAATTACTCATTGCAGTTGGTTTTTCGCCTAACAAAATATAATACTTTGTTTTACTATTTATTCACTTTTAGTAATATCTTTAGCAGACCCGACTTAGGGGCAGTGCTGAAAGTGCAATAGCACTGGGTCCCATATTTTTAAAAGTTTTTTCTTAGGATTTAAGGGCCTCAAATTTTAATTTTTTTACAAAAAAGATCCTAAATTTTAATATCATTTAACTCGGCACAAGGTCTAAAATTTTTTTGAGCCGGCTCTTTAGATTTTAGGGTGTTAAATTTTTTATTTTTTGTCATTATATATTTTGCTCCCTTCATTTCATAAATATATACATTTTACGCTATATTTTGTTTCTTCATCAAGATTAATGTTTTGTAGTTCTCTATGCAATTTCTATCATTGATAAAAGAGCTTTGATATGTAAATCCTCATATATGGCTTGAACAACACTTATGTAGTTATGTATTTCATAAATCCAATATAATGCTATTTAGGCGGGGAAAAAAGAAAAAAGAAAATAAAAGAATGTTGATTATTGATATTAAGTTATGATAACATAATTTTCAAGAATTAATAGATGATTATGTATCTGATATTTTATTTTTTTCACTAAGACTCCCAAAATCTTTCTTAAAACAACCATCTCAGTGAAAGAAAGAAAGAAGAAATTAAAGTACTATTTTCTTATTATTAAAAATAGAAAACTGATACATTATGTCTTAAATGTTTTACTTTAACAGGAACAATGGTTGAAGCGCAAAGAAGAAGATGTAGGGAAAAAATAGTCTTTCAACTTTGTAATGGTAAGGGCAAAAAAAAATGTTTCGATTATTGCGATATGAGGGATTGTGCTGCTGCATGTAAAAAGAAGAGGAATGGGGAAGGTATTTGCGATGGGAACGAATTTGCCCTTAGTGCTCAATGTTTTTGCTTATATAAATGTTGAGTTTTAGATGGTGAACGAGAAGAAGTTGATCAAATCATCAAGTTACCAAGATAAAGTGGTTGGACATTGGGTCAATCAAGTTTCTAATTATATATATTTTTTTAATAAATTTCATATACGAATATTTTAATAAGGTTAAATTAACTTCTTGATCTTAATAAATATATATATATATATATATATATATATATATATATATTTTTTTAATAATAACCTAGAGGTTGCAAAGTCTCTCGATGACATAGAGAGGATATATATATTTGGTTCTCCATCTGCCATAGTCTTCTCTCCCGTGAATCTTGATTCGGGTCTGATTTTATGACCTCATTATTCTTTTTTTTTTCTCGAGTTTTTGTATGTTTCCTCTAATTATTTAGGTAGTTATACCAAAACTAGACTGGTTTCAAAGAATATTTTAAAAATGACCTCTCCTTAAAAACGTATCAAAATATCTCTAAAACTCTAAGATCTACGTCTACCTAAATAAGTGTGTAATCTTATAAAAACATATACAAACTACATTTATACGTGTGTAAAACCTTATAAATACCTTGTAAAATCTTATAAAACCTTATAAATACTTGCATCGAGTATCTAAATAGTAATTACCATCCAGATGTACCTTATAAACCTTATAAACTTTTCAGATTTAATGAGGGGTATTTTTGAAAAAGATAACTAAAACGGGCAATTTTGAAATGGGCACCCTTTTAGGGGCAATTTTAAAATTCTCTCCATAATATATCATATAGCAATAATTGATGATGTATTTATAAGAAATACTAAGATATATATATATATATATATATATACACTCAATTACGATGAATCTATGACCAACCAATAAAGGTTGATGAATTAAGCGAAAATTAATTAGACATAATTAGAAAAAAATATTATAAGCACAATATAAAAATACTAAAATTAAACCAAAATTATTATAAAGAAGTATATATTGATTTTATATATTCCTAACTGAAAAAAAAAAGAAAATTCAAATAAACAATGAATTTTTTTTTAATCTTCACATATTTCAAATTAGAAAAGGAAATTGATAAATCATGATACATGTCGCAATCCGAAATTCGAAGCACAATTATATATGATAAATCTAAATAATTCAAAACTGCAGGTGAAAATCAAAATAATTAATCTAAAAATACTACAATTAAAGTTTATAAGAATAGATAAGTGTAAACATGATTGACAAATGCATTGAAATATGATCAACTCACAAACACATGTCGCGATAATGTTCATTAACTAGGATATGACCCGCGGTACACCGCGGGTTAAATAAATTTTTGTTAGTATTTTTTTATTACTTGATTATTTGTGTTATATATATATTTGATCAAGAATTTTTTGTTTATAATCTTATGATTGATTGTGTTTGGTTTGTAATAAAGCTAGATTTTACCTTGTAGTTGTGTTTTTGAGTCGATTTTTTTGTTTAGTGTTTATGATTGTATACTTGTATTTTATTTGTTAATTCTAGGATTTTACCCGTGGTAACCATCCCGTATTAATATCGACTCAAACCCGTCCCACCATATAACTCCGTCCCATAAAATTAAACATTCTTTTGTTATTTTTCTTTTTAAAAATACTTTTTTAAAAATACATATAATTCGAGTCAGTTTAAGATTTTCTTAAAAATTATTCCCATAATATTTATATTTTAATGTTTATAGAGTTCAAATATTATTAATGTTATAAATTTTTTTTATAGAATTTAAATATTAGAAATACTTTAAACGTTTATAAAGTTTAAATATATAAATACTATCACAAAATTCAAAATTAAGTAAGTTTACTAAATTATAAAAAATATCTTAAAAATGCGTCCAAACAAAAAAAGTGGTCTAGGATTTAACCCGTGGTATACCGCACGAGAATTTTTATTTAATTTTTAATTAAAAAATTTGTATATTTAAAGTTAGTGTTTTATGGTTTTTCATATTATTAGGAGTGTTAACTTTGGAATTTTTTTTTTTATGCATATGTACGTTGTTATTATGTTAAAGGACATAGTGTCATTCTAATATTGCAAATATCTAATATTAGTCTAATAAAGAAGCCAAATATTTTTTGGAATTTTTTCGTGAAAATAAAAATCCCGTAATTAGACAAAAAGAAGTGAAAGACACAAAGTATTAATGTTACAGAGACAAATAGTTATATGTTTCACTTTTTCTCTTTGACCTGAGAATCTAAAAAGTTATTATTTAGCTTACATTGGAACTCAAATTAAACATCGGCAAAGCAAAACACACATGAACATCTTGATGGGCCTTCTTACGAACACATGCCCAATGAACAAACGCCCAGCCCACAATGATTTTTCTTCTCCTTCTTCGATACACCAAAGAGAGAAAGATGGTTTGTAAACACAAATGACAAAACACATCAATCAACAGATTATTCCTTTGATTAGCAAATAGAAAAACTCCCAAAGCTTCACTCCGTAAACCCTAATTTTCCGATGTCGGTAAGTGTTCATTTCGATTCTTCTTCAATTACAAACTTTTGTTTGTTCTGAGCAATGATTGATAGTATGATTTGAACGATGAATCGATGGACATTGTGGTGATTCAGATCTTCGAGTACAATGGAAGTGCCGTCGTAGCTATGGTAGGGAAGAACTGCTTCGCTATAGCCAGTGATCGGAGGCTTGGTGTGCAATTACAAACCATCGCTACCGATTTTCAGAGAATCTCTAAGATCGACGATCATCTCTTCATCGGACTTTCCGGCCTCGCCCCCGATGTTCAGACATTGTAAGCTCTCATGACTATTCCATTGTTCATATGTTTCCTCCGAGAATTTGAGGTGAATTACAAAATTTATGGCTTCGTTTATTTGTTTGGCTTTGGGACTGAAGGTACCAGCGACTCGTATTTCGTCATAAGTTATATCAGCTTAGGGAAGAAAGAGACATGAAGCCAGAATCTTTCGCTAGTCTTGTATCTGCCATTCTTTATGAGAAAAGGTTGGTGAAATGTCGTCTTCTCCCATTTGTAGTTAGTTTCTAGTTACCTCTTAATCAAACTGATTTCTTATGATTTATGTGGCTATGCCACTACTAAGTAACAACTTATTCATTTCAGATTTGGTCCATACTTGTGTCAACTTGTGATTGCTGAATTGGGAGATGATAACAAACCCTTCACTTGCACAATGGATTCGATTGCAGCCAAGTATGCTCACTTTCATTCTTTGCCGAGTCTCCTATTCTTTCTTATTTTCATATATAATGATGCCATTTAATTTGGTTAGTAAGTGAGTGTAATCTTGCAACTTGCTAGGTATTTTGTCGTCCAATGCACTGTATGTATGTCATATGAGTGAACTTATTATATACATGTTGAGCTGATTCAAATATGAGTTCTAATAATATTGATTTTACTGAACATGATAGTTGCAATGGTTATGTTCTGTTAGACCTGAAAGTAGAAACATTTTTATATACTTAACTGTGATTGTTTATATATTTTATTAATGAAAGTGATATGAGTGTATCAGACTATAAATTCACTGAAACTTGAGAAAACCTAACTACATGAGGGAGTTATCATTGGTTTGACATTGTTTATAGGTTGATGCAATCTTATCAACCTGATAATTCAAATATACAAAATAGAGATTAAAACGCAATGCCGTGTATCATCAAGAGAAGAAACCATTCAGAAAAACAAAACTAATTCTATAAGTCAAAAAGATTAGAGAAATATCCATATAAAGATGATAGACAAAAATTATCTAGAGATTATTGAACCACCTTTTCATCTGCTAAAACTAATTCTATAGTTTTTCTTTGTGTTCCTTTTTGCTTTCAGATTCTAAGGATCCGAGATGGAATCGCCAGTCAAATCTTTGTTGATGTCATGAAGACCAATATGAATGGAAAATGAAAAAGAGGTTATTTAGGATGAATTGAATCGAAGGTCTTTGAGCTAATTTTTGGTTGTGTTTAGAAGTGTTGTTTTTCTTTGGATATGAAATGGGTATATATAGAGGACATATACGATTAGGTTTAGCCGTGATACATTTGCAAAAAATCTTTGTGAGCAAGCAAAATCTCTTCAACTTAATCATAATTGGCTAGAATTAGAAAAGTAAATGAATAATTATTAAAGTTGTTATGGAATTAGTTCCAAAAATCTTTGTTTACATTTTATTTAGGAAACATATGTGATTTGCATCAATATCTTTAGCATTATAATAGGAGACAATTTGATTGTCAAAGATTGGTTTGTTATACATTTACGATTGATATCTTTCAAAAATCTATTTATTAATTTCGTTTTCCTTTTTTGTAGGAATAATAAAGCTAAAATCGATTTTATGTAGGGAGTATTAATTAAGGAAAGATTTGATTCACAAAATTCGGGTCAAATGCTCAATTAAGGTAAGATCCGAGATTCTCCAAAGCGGGTCGAAAACAATTAATTCCGGGTCAAAATTAGACAATTTTTTGACCCGATTAGGGACCCCAAAAAGTGTTGCAAAAATGTATAGTAGATAATAGTTTCCCTTTTTGATAAATGTTTCATTTTCATAAAATTTTCTAGTTTTAAATGAAGTATATCCTTTATAATTCTCTATACTTTAATAAATATGTTTAAAAAAAAAAATATTTATTTTAAAATTCTTTAATTTTCATCTTTATGTTAGCATATGTCAAAATCAAATTAAAGATTTGCTACGATATTACAGATTGCGGCATAACTAAGCTGGGAAATCGCAACATTCCTACGACAGCAATACTTCAAGAGGAGAATAGGAAGCGGGAAACACAAATGGCAATACTTGTAGTGCGCCTCATACATATAGACATTAACCCTTTGGAGGATTCCAAGGACGTTGGTTTGCGCGAGGAGCCGGTAATTCTGACTCCATAGTCGACTAACCCATAGTTCTGAAGGAGAATATCGATGTCCTTTTCCGAGAAAACCGATTTGTCACAACCTACTTCCTCTTCACCTGAGTAGCCGGGCATTGACACAAGATCTTCTACCACAACATTATCAACAGTCGGTGCAAAATCTTCTTCGTCACTCGACTCATCGCCTTTAAATCCAACTCTGGTGAATTCAATTATTTTCCTCAAATGAGCCTCCGGAGAAATAAGGGAAGAAGGCCCGGATGAAGCAAGATTCGACGGAATTGAGATCTGATTAGGGGAAGCCCGCCTAATTCCGACACGGGTCTAATCAAAGTTCGCTTCTTTAGATGCTGCTTGGCTGTCGGATGATCAATCAGGTGCTGATTGTCATCGTCAGAAACCGAAGCGTTAGCATATGAAAGCTTGCGTTGTTCTCTCTCGTCATGATAACCCAAGCTCGGAATAGCGAATTGAACGAGGAGGAGGCAAATTCAAAATTCAAATTCAAACTGAAACCCATAATGACGAGGAGCGAGAAACAAAAATATCGACGGAAGAGAGAGATGAGCGAGAAAGTACCTTTCGAGTCGAAGCTTGGAAATGGAAAATTACTTACAAAACCTTCGGAGTTAAGGAAAATTTCTAAAAACACGTGATATCAAGAATCTTCGGAGATTGTGCCACGTGGATTTCTGTTTTCGCTCTCAACGTATCGAAAAAATTTTCACACGATTAAATCGCGACAATTCGGTGTATTCTAAGTTTGTGTCCAGCTAAACTATCATTCTAGCTCGGCGAAGTCTACTCGTTCTTCTTTACGCCATACAAACCGAATCCTTGAAACATCTTATTGGGCTCGGCCCAATGACTTATGCCCATTCGTATTGGACTAAGGCCCCATTGCGTGGAAATGAAAAGATCAAGATCGACCTAACAGAAAATAGAAGGATTAATTCGAATATACGGGGAATATTGCGTAATATTGAGAGGGAGAAAAGAAAGGAAGACCTTGGGTCGAAGGATATGGAAGTAAGGCATATTCGGAGACCTAGTGATGCAGCGCATCCTATCGGTTTACGGTCATCAATTAAGAGAGTCGGTTTAGTGTTACTTGTTCGACAAGTTAGCGTCATTTCTTTATTCCGTTCAGTTTATTTTCATTTTTTGTCAGGATAAGTCCAAATCTTTCGAGATTAGATTATGCGGGTGATTGGTAAGCACTTTTAAGGCTTTAGAAAAGTTTTAAAGTTTTTAAAGTTTTAATTTTGCCAATCAAACATTTTTTGCTTTAAATAATTTTAAAGTCTTCAAAGTCTTTCTTTTTTTCTATACTCTTTGAAATCAGTTTTTTTCTAAAGCCACGTAAACCTGGCTTTAAAAGTAAAAAAAATAAAAAGTAATTGTTTTTCTTATTTTCTTTTTCCCATTATAAGAAAACCTCTAATAAAATTCATTGGAAAATTAATCTTATAAAAATATTAACTAATTTACAATTAATTTTTTTTTTCTGTTTTTTTAAGATCCATTTATGTATATAAAAAAAACATCATATATTACATTTGATACAAAAATGGAGAAATATGAATGTATAAAAACTTTTCATAAAAGTGCATTGTATGAATTTCGTTGTTATATCACAATTTGGGTTTATATTCGTTGTAATTTATTTTATTTAAAATCATAATTTTTACAGCCACAGTTTCTACAGTTTTGTTGTTACCAATCACATTTTAACAGTTAAAGTCTCTAAAGTTAAAGTATCTGCAGTCAAAGTTTCTACAGCCAAAGTCCTTACAGCAAAAGTCTCTACAGCCGAAAGTAACAGTTGTTGGGGTCGGATCCCACACACTTTCGGTAGGATCCACTTGGATCTGTCCACGTCATTATTACACAATAATCCTCTCGGATTTCTAGATACTTTATTGGACTTGACCAGTTGGGAGTTCGATTCAGTTTACCAAAGGAGTTCGATCTTTACCAGTACGGAGTTCGCTCTTATTCAACATACAGTTCGCATAGAGAAAGACCGAAGCGAGGAGAATATTGTTCGAGGCTCGCGGTAGCATCAAAGCACGGGAGTTCGGAGTCAGCAAGAAAGAGTTCGGAAGACCCACGTGAAGCCCAAGACAAGTTCAAATTCAAGCCGTTTCGGTCAAAATGTAACTTATGTGATTAATGCGGATCAATATGATTACGAGTAGTAAATAGCCGCATTAATCATGTTTTCTCTATAAAAACAACCTCAAACGCATGTGTTTGAGGGGACAGACACAATCTTTTTCCTTACTATCAAGCAATACAACATACTTTTTCTCTCACAATTTCGCAAGGCTTTTTATATTTTCATTCTTATCAAATTCCTTTACTTTAGTCTTTTCTTGGTTTTCCCTTTCGAATTCTTACATTCATCCATTGATTTTAGAGTTTTTCTCCACAAAAATACTTAAAGACAATCGAGTGTGAATCCTACATCCACATTTTGGCGCCGCCTGTGGGGAGTTACCGCAAAACTCTTTAATCTCAAAATCTCTCTTTCTCAAACCAAGAAACTATGGCTGATCAGCAAACTTTGAGCGATGCAATAACCTCGCTTAATCAAACAACCGCTAGTCTGACCAGTCAGATTGGTACACTCGCTGATGCCAACACCACTTTTAGTGAGAGGTTGAATTCAATCGAGCAAACTTTGACGAGTGTTCAAACCACCCAGACAAATTTGTCGAACGCGCAGAACGTTGTTTCAAGCCGTTTAGATAATTTGTCCTCAACGCGAACGACAACGTATCAGCGCAGGCTATTCCAGACTCCCGCACAAAACAGGACCGGGAGCACTCAAACTCCTCCTACAGGCCGTCTTGCTAGTACTAGCAATCAGGCAACCGTAGGAGATGGGTCCAATCCAGCCGGGGATGAAAATCCCCAAAATCAGGGAAATCCTGCTATTGACGAAGGACTCCTTATGGAAGATCCTGATGTCATCCTTTCAGATGATTTCGTCAAAGTTCGTCAAGAGCTTGATGAAATGAAGTCGAAGTTTCATCAGGCGACCAGTTCGGCGCCTGAGATCGATCGAGTAATCGAAGAAACTCGACGAACACCCTTCACTTCGAGAATCTCGAACCTTCGGATCAAGGATTCTCGAAAGGTCAAATTACCAAATTATGATGGTAAAGGCGATCCTAAAAATCACCTCGCTGCTTTTCAAATCGCTGCTGGCAGAATTGATCTAGAACCAGACGAGGAAGATGCCGGATATTGCAAACTATTCTCCGAGAATCTATCCGGATCGGCTCTACTATGGTTCACTCAGTTGGAGCCTGGAACTATTGATAGTTTTAAGGAATTATCCTCCGCATTCCTAAAACAGTATTCCATGTTCATGGAAAAGGCAACTTCTGATGCGGATCTTTGGAATTTAACCCAAGGTCAGAATGAACCACTTCGCAAATATATCGCTAAATTCAAAGAAGTGATAGCCAAAATTCCTGGGGTATCACACGCTGCTGCCCTTTCTGCTTTAAGGAACGTACTCTGGCATGAATCCCGATTTCGGGAAGAAATCATCGTCAATCGTCCGAACACCATCCAAGATGCTTTATTCAGAGCTACTAATTGGATGAAAGCAGAAGAAGAAAAGCTTAGCCTCGCTAAAAAGCATCGGCCAGCAAAATTGGTCGTTGGAAATCCAACTAAAAAATTCGAACCGAAAGATCAAAAATGGTTCGGAGTTAATCCTGCTACTAATGCTGTAGGGAAACCCTCCCCAAGCAAAGGAAGATACAATTCTCCTAATACCTGGGTTAGAGATGAGAGTGCCTATTGCGATATTCATAGAGTAAACGGGCACTTTACCAAAGATTGCAGCGTACTCAAAAAGCACCTCACCGAACTGTGGGCGGCTGGAGAGCTCGCTAATTTCAATATCGAGGAGTTTGTGGAATCTTATCATAAAAAAAAAGAAGATTCCGAAGCATCCAATCCTCCTGAAAAGAAACATAAGCCCAATGGGCCCGGAACTCCGAACACTCCTAAGAAAAGGAT